GCTGAAAAAAAATGCATAAGACTTGGTTTCAGTCACCCAAAAGGCCATGTTTCATTGATAAATACAAAGCAGTTGTGGAAAGCGAGGTGGGTTGAGATATCAGATCTGGAGGATGGACACATGGGGTCTGGCTCATGTATGAGGGCAGGCTTTGGCTGCAGTGGAAAGGGAATGTTGCCAGGTGGTTGCTAAAACAAATTTAGCTCCTGGTGGCCTTATCTTGCTATGGACTACTGGGGAAGCAGATGCTTTACAGTATGTCAGGACTCTGACAAAAAACGTGTGGATATGAACACCTGTGGATGTTGACAAGCTAAGTTAATTCACATACATGGGAAAGTGTTGCTCATATTCTCTTAAATACAAGGTTCACCAAAGCAACTGTGGCCTCTGGATAAAAACTAACCTACCCCACACCCCAAAGCTAGTGTTTTACTGGGCCTGGTGTTGCCTTTTTCCCAACTTGGAAATGAAACTTGAGATCATTTTAGTAAGGCGGTAATATAAGAGTGGATCTTTATTTGAAGGCCTTCGGGTGCAGTTATGGAAAGATGTCCCACACTCCCAAGGATGAGTACATTTTTTGTACGTTTCAGGAAATTAGCATAGTTGATAAAAGGCACCAATTAGGAGGGCAAGTAGTGATGTAATCGCCCCCCACCACCCAGGTCAAGCCCCTTCTCTGGAGTCCCCCTCGGCACTGGCTGGGCTTTGTCCATGAAATGTGTCCCAAAGAGTTGTTGTAGGCCTTGGTTCCCGGGAGGAACCAAGACAGCAGAGGGGCCCTGCACCTCCCAGGGCTTGGAGGTCTGGAAGTTCTTTTGTTTTTCTGCCTAGGGAAATGTCATGGAAAAATAATGGGAAAATCAGCCACTAGTACAATAAGCTACAGAGCTACAAATATATGTGTGAAAAATACAGAGAATATATAAAGTAAAAAACAAAAACCAAACAGCATCACTTTGTCCTTTCCCCAAAGCAGCAGCATAGCCCCAGGCCACCTACACAGTTGTCTGGTTGTGACTGGCCAAATCCAGCCTTCTTTAACAAAAAAACAGGCCTTAGCCCAACTGAGGGCAAGCATCTACCAGGACTGCAGGACCAGATCCCAAATCTAGGAAATGAAACATAGCTCAGGCAAAGGCAATGGGGAAAAAAAGTCACCTGGAAAGAGTTAGCCATTCAATGTGGAGGCAGGGGGGAAGGCATGCTGCTTTAATCTTTTTATAGTATAAAAATTTTGTGACTGAATTAAAGCCCTACTGTTTGGACTGGATGATGTTACGTAGTTCTTAGAAATGAGAGCAGCTGGCCATGGTACAGATACCTCCTAGCAAGCCCTGCAGTGCACAGACCATCATTTACCAAGACTGTAAAAAAATACATTTATTAAGGGGCTTGGGAGTGAAATTTGACGTGCTGTCTTGGCTTTTAGCTCTCTGGATTTCATTTACATCTCCTCTGTTTTATTTTCCACTAAAATAAATAAATAAATAAAGCCGTCTTTGCCCACTTTCCCTAATTGCTTTTTTGGCATGCCTGTGGGTGAATCCAGTGCAGAGAGCCCAGGGGTATTGATGTGAATATTGTTAACCTTGTAATGGTAATGTAGTTAAACAAGCAAAGGGAAAATCCACATTCAGGAGGATGTGGAAAAAGGCAGACAAGTAATGGAAATTAGAAATCAACTGATTGTTGGAAATTTTCACTCAGAGGAAAACTGAGAACAAGACAAGGTCCTGAGCCCACCAAAAATATGAATTTTACAAACATTTATTGCTATATCCTGATCCTTCCTCTTGCCTTTCACCCACCTCTTCCTGCCACCTACACTAGCAGCAGATTTGTAATTTCTTAATTGCCTTTGCCTCTTTTCTTCACTTGTGGAATTGGGGGGTGGGGGAGAAGAGGGAGGGGACAGAAAAATAATAGTTGAGGAGTCTGTGTTCTGCCATTTAGATACAGGACAGGTTTTGTTGCTCAAGCAGTTGCCAAAATGGACCCTGAGCTCATCCTGGTGTTCTCGCCCTGCTTTGCACAGGTGGATGGTGACACTAGCTGCACTTATGCAAGCCCTCCTGACTTTCCCACAGCACTTAAGTCTGACAGCAGTGCCAGTGTGATCATCTACCCATAGATTATGTGGTTGAGAAACAGATGATACTTTTTTTTAAATACTGTTTTCCAGAATGATTAAGAGCCCTTTGGAAAATATGTCCCTGGATCGACCAATCAGCCATGCTCCAAAACCTGTTACGACCAGGAAAATCTGGCTCTTGTGCCAGGAAATGTCTCATTTAAAAATAAAATAATTTAATCCCTCCCCCTTCTGATTTATTCCAGTAATACCATCTACAGCTACATACTTAAGGTATAGCTAAATTTTAAGTAAAATATTTGAAAACATGCAAATGCAAGTATCTGAAATGTTAAAGAATTAAATCTGTAACTTCAGTTTTGAAGATCTTGAAAAATGCATGATAGCACTGGGGATAGAAGGAATTTCAATTCTTCCACACTTTGGAAATCAGCTTAGTTCCTTATAGACCAAATGTTATGTAGCCGTCCCTCCCTGCAGTACTTGGCACCAGAAACCTGTGAAGGTTTAGGAGCTGTTGCTCCCTGTATTTGGTGTTTTAGGATTTTAAGAATGGCCTGATGTTTCACCTTAGTTATGGTGGTAGACAGCTGCTTACCTAGCAGTACTGGGCTACTAAAGCAGGTGTAGTGATCAGTGCTAATGGATGGATCCTGCGAAGAGGAATGCAGCTTTCCGACCTCCCCATAGGCACCATGCCAGGCATTAGTGAGCTTACTCTGGCTTTGCACCCTGTGTTTGCTATTGCCATTTTTAAAGTGTGCCTTCTTTCTTCCTGGCTGAAAGATCCTAGTGGATTTTGGGAGAGCAGCTAGTATAGAGGAGGACATATGTTCCACCGTCCAGCATCAGCTAACTGGGTGCTGGAATTTGTAACTTTGGTATTAATTTAACTGGGCAGGATCTGAGCAGCAGAGTCAGAGAGCAGCGTCAGGTGGGCAAGGGTCCCAGCAGCATACTGGGCAGCACAAGAGAAGCACTAAGGGCCATGTTCCAACCCTGGAAGCTAACGTGCTGGCTTCAGCTGGAGCCATGTGAACATAACTGCTGCCAGAGGACAGGCCCCAAAGTTTAGTATTTCTCCAAATGAAGTATAAAAATAATTATGAGCTTAGCCTGCAAAACTTGGGTCCGAGTTCACAACCATCTGGTGTTAATGGCCTGAACTGAAACTTCAGACAAAGGTTTCATTTTACTTATTATTCATGAGAAAAGTTTCTGGCCAGTGACTGCAGCTTTGATAATTACTTCATACCTGCTGCCTCGCTGAGGGGTAAGGGGGTGCAGAAGCGTGATGCTGCTCTGCTTTAACTTTAGGCAGGTGGCACTGAGCAGAGACAGGGATTGCTTGAAGCACACAGATGAATTAAGAAACTCAAAATAATATTTCTCCTTGCACCATTTTCACTTAACTGACATTAAACTTGATCTTCCAAAATGCCCCTGCCCAAGAGTTTATTGAAAGGCAAAACGGCTTCCATGCTGAAATTAACTCCTACTGCTACTTGTCTATGAGCAAAAGCTGTTTTTAGGCTCTTTGTCAAAACAAATCTCAGCTGCATACCAGTTCAGAACTGGGTGGAAGGACTGTGTGGAAAACATATGCTTTTTTTCAGTTCAGCTGAAATTTTGCAGACAAAGCATTCCCATCCCAAATAGTGGGGACACTATTAGAACACCTAGATGTTCTAACTCTGAGCAGACCAAACAGAAGATATTGGCATGGTGAGGTATGTTGATAAAGAGAAACAATAGATGAAAGTGGCAAATAAGATTTCAGGCTTTTCTGACAACTCCAAGAGAAACTTCCCTACTTATTAAAGTTTCTGATGGAGATTTTTAGACATTACTGTGTGGTCTAGAAGGTGTTACTCACTAGGCATGAGAAATTTGAGTAAGAAATGGCAGAGCTTTTGAGCTTGCTTCCATACAGACATTCTGGTGTTTCCATTAAAAATTTTAGGTCAAAACTCAAATGTTCCAGGTGGGAAGTTTCTCTTCTCTGCTTTTCTCTATGTGGTCCAAGTACAGCTTGTTAAGACCATCAGGGTTGTGTTTCTGGATCAAAATAAGATTTCAGCAAAAATACTTCAGTTGTTATTTCTGGCTAACAGTCCTCCCGCTTCCTCCCCACCACAATCCCCCCAGTCCATCCCCCCCCCCGGCCAAAAACGACAGAAGGAGGGTGGGTGAAGGGAATGCTTACTTTGCTTATCTGCAAAGTGCCCAGTAACCATATTTCCACAAAAGAAGCAAGAGCCGTAGAAATAAAAAAACATTTTAAAAATCTACTTTTCTACTGCAATCTCGTCTTCCTAAAGTTTTTGCCGGCCGCTCTCTCATACCTTGATGCTTGATGTTAGACAGTTGCCCCTCAGGGCAGCTTGTTGTTGCATGGAAAATGCCAGTGTTTGCAGCACTCCGTGGCAAGCCTTAATCACTGCAATCAGAATGAGATGTTTATCTGACCCTTACCCATCACAGCACATGTCCACACTGACGGTCCTTAATGGTTTGGACAAAGTTTCACAGGTCAACCTGGGCAGGGCAGCATGGTAACTTGCTGCTTTTTTTGTTGTAAGCTGTTCCATCTGCTTTCTACTGAAGAGTTTCCTCTTGGTTTTCTTGTACATAACCTCTGAGGCTTGGGACTTGATACAGAAATTTCCAGAGGTAAACTTTGGGTTTGTAAAGTGCAGAATGTAACCACACTAAATATTTTTCTTCTCCTCCTCATGTGTCTCCCAAGAATGTCACTTACTGGGAAACCTGTTCTATGCTGTACTCTTATTCATGGAACTGTGACTTACATCAAGACCCGCTGGGGAGGGAGTATCCCCATGTCGACACCAGCCTCAGCTTTACATTGTCATTCAACTAGCACCTTTGTCCTCTCTTACAGTGTTTGCCAGAATCCTGAAGGCTCCTGAATCCCAAAACATCACCTTTGGGTCCATGGTGACATTGCGGTGCACAGCAACCGGCCTTCCAGTCCCTACTGTCACCTGGTTGGAAAATGGGAAAGCTGTAAGTGCCTCTTTTTCATCCTTTTGGCCCTGGAGGACTGCTATCATCTGGAAGGGCTGCTAGTCAGCACCTGTGGTTTCTATTCCTTCATAACTTAGCACCTTGTTTTTCAAACTGGTTGAGTACAGCTCATCTCTCTGCTTCAGTTTTCTCTGGAAAAACATTGTCCCCCTTATCCAGGGTCAGTCATACAAGGGTGTTGTATGACTTCATTTGTTAGGATCTGAAAAGTCCAAGATGAAGGGAGCTTTACACCCTTCCAATCATCCTCCAAGAATTTCTAGGTCTTCATTGTGTCTGTCACTGCAGCTATCTTTCCTTTCCTTTTTTAATAATGTGGTAACAATAACGAGGCAAAAATGGATATTTTACAAAGTACCATAAACCAAGGAGTAAGATAGAGCAAACTGTTTTGAGGTCAAATACCTGTGGAACCACATTATGCACAGCATATTTGAAGAAGATAATAGATCTGAAATTTTCTAGGCTGACATAGGTGATGTGAAATATGTCATGAATTTATCCCTGGGCAGAAGCATGTTCTTAAGAAAGGCACACCCTCTTCAGTGGCAGGCACCAAGGGATGCAAATCCACTGTGTCTCATAGGAAAGCTTCTGTGGTCTAATAATCCTGACCACTTAATATGGGTTCTTGCTTTTCAATTTGCCTGGCTTTCATGCCTGTGTGTAGGCTGTTGCAATGCCTTCATTTCTGTGAAGAGAAAACCTGCTTGATGCCTAGTATTGCCTGTGTGGGAGTGAGCAGGGAACCACAGTGATGGCAGCACTGCAGCCCAAGCCTGCCATAGCTTCCCTCCAGTTTTCATGTGTTTAAGGTGATCATGTTTTATACTCTCTCTGGTATTTTGACAGCTTTTTAAAGGATGTGAGCTCCAGGGCATGATTCTGTGGAGGCAGGTAGAGTGTCTGCTGAGTGCAGGCTGGCAATTTCCCTCTGCTCTTTCTCATGGACCGCCTGTCAGCCCTGAGTCCTTCTGAGCACAGGCTGATCCTGACCATTCCTGTGGACTTGCTGGTCCAGAGGATCAATAAATCACTTGACTCTTACTTGAGGGGGTTATCACCATCCTGGTTTGTATCTCTTCTCTCCACACATTAAAATACATTATTAAGACCCCATGGCTACTCTACAGGCTGTCTTGCCTTCCTTGCCTCCTCTATATCTTATGGTGTCCTCCAGTCTGATTAGGGCTAATGTTCTATATTCCTTCAGTGTTGCTAGGCAGAGCAGAAAAGGGATGAGATCAGCCTCTGCTGAGATCCATGGGTTCTTGGTGGTTTCTGACAATATTTAGTTTGAGAAAACTGCAAGTGTTTATTTAACACTTCTTCCCCACTGGGAATGAAACCTTTTGCAGGATTCTGAGGTACCTGGAAAGACCAATATATTTCCAGAGCACAGACCTGTGCTCTGATGAGATCCCAGTGAGTGAGTCCCACAGAGAGCTGAGCTACACGAGATGATGCTCAGCCCCTACCTGGGCCACTGCCGGTCATATCTGCTCTGCCTCATTCCTGTCTGAAAGGCATAGCCCAGTCCCAGGAGGGTAGTGCTCCTGATTGCCTCACTTTAAATATGGCAAGGAAACCTTAATGAGAGCCTGTCTCTGGGAGAGTCAGCAGGAAGCCAGTGGACGGGACACGGTGAATTTGAGGGTTGTTTCACAGCAAGGATGAGTCATTTGAAGAAGCAGCATGCCTGTGGCATTATGGTTTCTGAACACCAACCTGTAATTGTCCTGGGGTTCAAAGAACAGTAGTTTGCTGAGCTTATTGAGCTTCCCTGGAAGAGGAGGATGGAAACTCCTCTGTGCAGCAGCTGCCTGGCCTATTTAGAAACACAATTCATTTTTCTCCTGCTATGCACCACAGGGTATCATGGACCTTATAATGTAGTTTTCCACATATCCAGGAATAAATGAGCCAGGTGTGAAGATATGAAGAGGTCTCTAATTTCCTGGTAGCTGAGGTGATGTTTTAAAGGCTAAAAAGAGAACTCCTAGAAACAAAATCTCAGGAAATGTGTTTGAAAAGGCAAGGGAATCAATTAACACAAGGGAACATCTTGAAGTTTTCAGTAAAGGAAACAGCAGATGGCCAGTGTGGAAGTCCTAGGCACCACTGCCAGTGATTTTCCACTGTACCTGGTGCGTACTGCCTGTGCTTCTTGCAGTTACTTGAGCAACCGGCAGATGGCCAGTGTGGATGTGCACCACTGCCTGTGATTTTCCACTGTACCTGGTGCATACTGCCTGTGCTTCTTGCAGTTACTTGAGCAACCTCTTCCTCCTGTGTCCCAAGCTGAAAGGAGCAATCCCAGTTATCTGTGCTCAGCAGGCACAGTCCAGTGCTGTCAGATGTGGTACATCTGAGGCCTGAGGAGCCAGCAGGGGGAGAAGACTGGATTAGCACAAGCTGCTCAGGGCAAGCAGCCACCTATCCCACCACGATGCTGGAAGGCGGGGTGGGGGGTCTATAGGAAATACCTCCTTCCCACTGAGAAGGTCCCTGCACCATTTCAATGCTGAGTGGTTTCTGGAGAGACAAGGATTCTAAAATTAAATTTGAGCAGCTCTGTAACAAAAGACATATCTGTGAAAAAATATCCCCTGGGCTCCCACCCTCTTGAACTGATTTCATGTTATAAGACCAAATATAAGGCCTGGTCCCCTCATTTGCACAGTGGCTGATATACCTGGTGCAGTACTTATAAACTGTGTTGGTCTGATTATTTAGTGATTTCTTCCCATGAACATTCTCTCACCACAAGTCCAAGCTGACTCTGAGAGAGTCAAAACAAATATATTTTTCAACATTTTCTTTTCATAGAGAATCCAATCTCCTTACAAGACATGTTACAACACTCTTGCTTTTTCAATTATTGCTCTCAATACCCATGGGTATTTCATTTCACTGAAAGGTCTCATTGAAAGCACATTTTTATTGACCTGCAGGGAGATCAGATTGATATTTCTGTCTTAGTCACACGTGTAGGTAGAGTGCTTTGCTGGGGTGAATCCAGGGTGACAATCTGCAATGTCCTTAGAGTCAGGTCACACCTAGGGGGTCCACAGGCAACATACCTCACTTGAATTATATTTGATGCTTCTTATCAGTATGAAGGTTAAAGCAGGCTATGCTGTCCTTCCTACTGCCTTTGCAAGACAGACTCTGTATGTACCATGCTCTCCTACTTTAATGAATGCCATGTTGCCAGGAAAAGCTTGATGGTAAATCAAGGCCAACTGGCCAAAATCATTAGGCTTTAAGCTCATTTAACTGTGAATTACTGATCTGGGATAAAAGCTGGCCAAAATCATCATATTTTCATCCCCTTCCATATTTCTAGTTGCAAGATAAGAAAATCTACCAGATACTTTGCTGAAGTGTTGGAGCCAGAGCACTTTCTATACTCATGACTGCTTTCAGAGTATTGCAGTGGTTACACTAATCCAGAATCAGTGACTTCCAAACTACTTTCTTTTCTTCCTCTGTGTTGTGGATGTTCACAAAGTCGTCCTGTGCTGTTCCTTCCTAAGGTATGAAGAGTCAAAAAATCTACTACAAGAAGCCCTGCAGTAATTAGCCAGCTCAATTACATAAACCCAATTGTGACTATGACCCTCTTGAGCTGAAACCTAGTTGCAAAAGTATTGCTGAAATGCGAAATAGGAGAGATCTTTTAACATTTATTTCTGTGTGTGAAGTCAGTGGCTATAAAAGTGCCACAGCAACACCAGAAGCTTTAGGTCTCTGCCACTTTTGTCTCCCTCCACATCTTCCTCTGCTAATTTAAATGCTTGGGACTCCGTCTCTTAGATTTTTTCCTTGGTTTGCGAGTTTGTGTCTTTGTTGGAAATATTGCTGAACTGGGCTTTCCCTCTTTTAGGTTTCTGTGGGGTCGATAGCAGAAAGCGTCAAGGACAGAGTGGTTGATTCCAGACTGCAAGTGTACGTCACCCGACCTGGCCTGTTCACCTGTCTTGCCACAAACAAGCACAGCAAAACTTTTGGAGCCGCAAAAGCAGCAGCAACCATCAGCATTTCAGGTATACAGGGAAGGAAGAGGCCATTATTTCTTTTTGCCTTTCCTGCTGGGGAAGAGGAAAGGGATGTGGAATACTGTGGTGGAAGAGAGGAAGCCTTGGAGAGCTGATAATGTGTGGGGGCCTAAATTGAGTACAAGTACATCCTCCATCAGGCTATTTCCTCATATACTCTTACACTTCGGAGACGGGCATAGCTGTCATTTCCTGAATGTTTGATGCTGTCTTGTACTTTGTGTCCCAGAAGCACACTTGGTAAGTTCATCCATATGGAGGAAGTTGTGGCCATGACCCAGCGTTGGTATCATTTAACAGCAAAGTGAAAATAGCTTCAAGCAGTTCAGCTTCACAAGGGGTTGGCATCCAGAAAGCAGGGTGGTTGCTGTCAGAGTAGTACCCTGCCTTGCCTGAAGTTATCTCTTCCCTCAGAGATGTCTCCCAAATGTGAAAATGAATTTCCAAAGTGAAGAAATACCTCTGTCAGCTAACTAACAGCATTTGTTGTACAGAGAGAAAGGTGGTAGCTTGTCCCATCCCTCTTTGGATGTACAAGGGAATCTAGTTAAGAGGAAAGAGGAATCACAGTGGACATGGGATGGTAGCCCTGGTTCTGGTTTTAATGAGGCAGGTACTTGTTTATCTCTCTGTGTCTTAGCTTCTGCTTTCTTGAGAAAATAATCATGCCCTGTCTTACACTGGGCATTGAAACCTACCAGTAATCTCTGCTCCATAATGTACTCAGCACTTGGTGCTGTATTTCCCATCCCCATTTCTGCCTTTAGCCCAGGCAAGTGGGTGTCCTACAAATGCAGTGGGGTGGACACGTACTTGGGGCTGGTGGAAGTTGTACTCCTCCAGGCTGCATTGCTCAGCAGGAGAACTACCCCCTAGACATGAGAAGGACTCTGCCTTGGCCTTGCCCCGTCTCACAGGGTACCAAGGGCAGAGGTACCCTGGCCCTTGGATGATGCCCAGTGCTTCCTCCCTGTGCTGGCACTGTCCAGCTCCCTGTGGCATGCCAAGCCAGGGCCACTGCTGTGTGCCAGTGCTGCATCTCCAGCCCTGGCTTCACCTACTTGTTACAGCTGCTGCCTGAAGTAATGGATATCCATGTGGCTTAAACAAAGGTTACATGGGACCCAAAGGATCAGGGTAAAAGTGTGGGTTTATGGTGCAAGAGTCCACTTCAGCTAGCACTGCCATCAACAATCCACTTCCTCCTCCTCATTCTTTGTCACTTTACAATGTTTGGTGTTGACCAACTTTTCTTCCTCACAAGAAGATACAAAGGAACAGAATTTAGGTGCATTTTTTTCATACAGCTTACAGTTATCAGACACTTTTCCTAGCATGAAAATCTTGACTTATGCATCTCAGAGGGAGTAATAAAGTGTCACTGATGTCTTTTCCATTTCTTCTTTCTCCTGGTTCACCACAATTCCTGGATCTGGTGCCTCTTCGCAGAATGGAGGTAAGAATGACTTTCTGTGTTTTTGTGGAGGCTCTTTCTGGGCCAGGGAGAAGAAGAATGATGAACCAAGGGGGTTTGGTTAATTTGGCTTAAATGAAGGGGTAGGGTTTCTGAATTCCAGCTGTGCAGACGAGATTCACCCATCGGGGTCACTGAGCTCCTTTACAGAGGCATAATTGGAGACTAAGCTTGGGTGGTTAACAATGGTTTTGAGCCAAGCCAGCAGTAAGGGTGTTTGAAATATGGTAGTGGGGAGAATATTCTGAAGGAATTTCTATTTGATTAGAGATCCACAGTTTCTCTTGACCTTATAAATTTTCATGGCAAAGCTTAAACGCAAGGTAAACTCCTACCTGTTCATAGTTAATAAATGTAATTTGGTTTGGGGTCACCAGATTAGGGCAAGAGAAGATTATATTTGTTCCAAGCAGAGTTATGGATGAATAAACTACATGTGATAAGAAATGAACTTCTGCTTAGTAATTTTTGCAGGACTGAACAATTTGGCTGGCTTTTTGTCCTTAGAATCCTTCCATGTTTCTACATGCTGCACTGGCTGATCAGTCTGGAAGGAAAATGAGAGCGTTAGCCTGGGAGATGGGCTGGGAGCTTCTGGCCACCACAGAAAACAGCAGAGCCTGGGAAAGTCTGAGCAAATGGCTTTGCCACTCTGCTGACACAGACTCCCTGCGAAGGCCTCCTTCACAAGAGCTTGCAAGATTGATTCAGGAAGTTTGTAAAGTGATTAAGTCACCACACAATGATGATGGCAGACTTAGCCTTACACCTGCACCCATGCAGGTATGACAGGCATAGGGACACAGACCCCAGGTGTCCCATAAGTGTTCTTAACATTTGCTGCATGATGTTTCCTTTCTGTGACAAACCATTGTGAGAAACATGTTGTTGCTACTTCTCCATTGCCACTTGGTCTGTTTCTCCTTGCATATTTTAGAAAAGCAAGGAAACATAATGTTAGCACTGTTAGCTCTTCTTGGTCTGCCTCTGCAGGCCCCTGAAGTCAGCAGCACAGCTGCCCCATGCACACCTGTCCCCTGCTTTTGCCCCTGGGGCACAAGAAGGATGCAATTTTCAGATTAAGCACAATGGGAACCATCAGGGAAATGTAACTAACATGACCCCTGCAATGTCAAAAGCAGTTTTAGCAGGGTCCTGGGATTATTGCGTTGCTTTGGGGAAACCTGCTGTGTGCTGGGGAGATGTCATGGGCTGTGAGACTAGTGCAGCATGCTGGGAGACTCCTGTGCCACATGAAAGTGTGTCCACGAAGCCTGGGATGATGCAGTGTCAGAGCATCACTGCCATTTTGGTAAACTTCACGTGTTGGTGCCTTCCTGTATTTTTTTATCCAATGTGACACAGAAAAAAATTAAAGAAAAAATTCACATACAGCCTAAAATAGAGCACCAAAAACAGGGCCAGAAAACAGCATCTGCAGAAAACAGCATCTGAAGAACAGAAATGTGAGCATCCTCTGTAATCCCTTGTCCATGTACCTCCAGCTTTCTAAAAAAAAAACGCCAAAAACAAAAACAAACAAACAAAAAAACCAGCAAGAAACCCCAGATCTAACAATGGGTGATTATTAGGACAGGGGAAAGAAATAAAAGGCAAAGATACAAATAGCTCTGTTGACTGCTCCAAATGGTTGGCATGTTGTGAATTGAACTCTCTGACCCCAGTTACACTGACCGAATGGCAGTGGGGACAGCTGCACCCAGCCCTCCTCTCTGCCCTGATTTGGCCATGTCCCACACACGGGGAGTCTGTTTTCACAGCTTTGCCTCCCATACCCTGGACACTGCATCCCATGGGCTGCCTAGGCAGAGGGCACCTCCTCACCTGCAGACCTTACTGCTGTTGGGTGACCATGGGAGCTACTGGAAGAAACATATTGTTTTCTTTTATTGTTATCTTACTAGGCCAGTATCTATATTTTTATTACTATAATGCTGACCTGTGCATTCCCCTCACCCTGCTGCTTACTTTTGATGGCCATGGGGAGGAAGGGAGCAAGGGAGAAGGGAGGGATCTCCTTCTAGATGCAAATAACATGGGAAAGATAAATAAACGGCCCTCAAAGACGATTACCCTACTGTGATTTTTAAGCTCCTGCATAGCTCTGTTTTCATGCTATGTGTCAGGACTTAGCAAAATGGGAGATGTGGTGAAGACAGAGGATGCACCTTGCAGAGAAATACTGGGAAGGAAAAGACAGAAGTTTGTGTCCTCCTTGTCTCTGAGTCCCCCAGCTAAAGGTGTGGAAGAGGGACAGGGTCAGGAGTGGTGCAGGAGCTGTGGAAGGACAGGCAGGAGCTTGGTCTGACCTTGTGAAAAATTCCCTGGCACAAGATGGGTTGAACTTACGTGGGTCCTGCTCATCAAGTGTATCTTAAATTAAACTCTAACTCTTGTGAGACAGCAGAGCGAAAAATCTTGAGTTATCACAGGACTGCAAGCAAGCAGCAAGCATGGCTGATCCCTACTGCAGGGAAGCAGGAAAGTAAAATATTCTCCCATTAGACCCCAGGGACAAGGTGAGGGGCCATGCTACATCCTGGTTCTGTGTGATTGCTCAGTCTTCTGTCCACTTATAACTGTAACAACACTTCGTCAGGGCCTCATCATCTCTGGAGCTCACCTGGGCTGACACCAGGGTACCCTGCAGAAGTTTCATTCTTGCATTGTATTAGCTGGTTTTAGTGGTATAAACATCTACCATTTTCTCTGCCCTCTATTAGCCTTACACATGCCACTTTATTCAGAAACAGGGCCATTGTGCTCATGCAGCTGTTTATGTCTGTGAGCTTACTGTGCGTGTGTGCTCTTGTCCTCGACAGCAAGCTGTACAAGGGTGACGCAGGCTACTGCAGCACATACAGAGGTGAGGTGTGTAGTGCTATCTTGGCGAAGAATGCTCTTGTTTTCTTCAACTCCTCGTATGCTGACCCAGAGGAGACCCAAGAGCTGCTTGTGCACACTGCCTGGACTGAACTGAAAATGGTGAGTTCATTCTGCCAACCGGCTGCTGAGTCTCTGCTGTGTAACTACATCTTCCAGGAGTGCAATCCCTCGGGAGCTGGGCCAGCTCCAAAACCAGTGTGCAGGTAAATGAAGAAAAACATGCTCATATTTCACTTTCATTTTGTGGGGATGTGTATGCAGCAGGGGAGTGGTGAGGGACTGTCCAGGCTTGCTTGCAGCAGCAAGTGAAGCTGAGTGAAGCTGAGCCCTCTAGGTTTGCACAGCTTTTCCCTTTGCTCTCTCCTCTGTACACATAGACTGACTCAGGTCTCACTGTGCTCATTGCTAGGGTGTGGTCTGAATTTGAAGTCCAGACCTCTACATTATATCAGGTGTTTGGAGGACAGTGTTGAAAAGAACTATCAATTTGAATTACATGAGTAGCTTCAATAATTAACATATTGTTTTCTTTTATTGTTATCTTACTAGGCCAGTGTCTATATTTTTATTACTATAAAGACTAATTGCTTCTTTAGAATTTTGACTAAATGCAACTCCAGAAGATGCGACAAATCTGGCCAAGGCAATATACTGATCACTTAGCACTTCTTGCTATGACAGGAAAAATGTGACAAAAATGATGAGACCAGAGACATTGCCTGTGTAATTGTACCTGATAAACCAATACTAAAATGTGGTTATTGTACCCTTCTATATACAGAGAAATGTGCATTGAAATTGGGCTGACAGGGACCCTGAGGAGTCCAAAGCATCTCTTACTATAGCTAATCTACTGTTGACAGGTATTTGTAAACACATCACAGTGACAGGCACTTCTCTCTCCCTATGCAAAGTCCTGAAAAGCCCTTGCCTCATTGCTCCTTGCCCTCCCACCATGGCCATTGAGGCGAGTTTCTTTCTTTCCTCGTTGCAGTGAAATTTTACATCTTTCCCAGATTCTCTGACTAGAATAAAACAGGTTTTCCTGAGCCCTGCACATAGCTTTTGCTCTTCTGCCCAGTCCAGATTTGGTTATTTTTAACTCTAACAGAATGAAGATTACTTGGTGTGCTCTTGCAGAGGACAGCGCCCCACACACATAATCAGGGTGAAGCTTTCTTTTCTCTGTCATATTCAGCCCCTAAAAACTAGTCATTACCCACTTCACATCTGGGCAACTGACATCCTCGTCTAAAGTGCACTGCTTTGTTCTTGTTTTCCTTGAGACACATTTTAAAATACTATTCAGATCTCTGTTTACTGGAAGAGTAGCCCCAACTCTAGTGTCCCAAATAAAATACAAATCTTTTCTACAGACATGGCAAGCACACTGCTTGCTGGACTTGTGCCAGATGTCTAATGGGAATAATTTCTCCAGTTATACAGGAACTTTCTAAGACAATCAGCAACATGTTGTTTTTGTAATTGGGACTTTTTTCGTTGCTTCTCCTTTAATATATCTAAAACAGAGGCACAGAGGAAAATTCCACTGTGAATATTGACCACACATTTAGCTTTCTACTTGGTACTTATGCTGCCTAGTATTCTACCATTGACACAGGGGTGGCATATGTCCTACAAAACAAGATTATGTGCAAGTATCCAGAGATAATAATGCAGCCAAGTACTACCATTTGCCTTTTGCTGGCAGGCTCCTCTCTGCCACCTCAACATTCTGCTCTTTGTCATTGTGCCCTTAAATACACGATTGCTCTGCCATTTTTCAAGGTCTGTGACCGTATTTATATCTCAGCTACACATGCACAGCACATTAGTCAGCTAAGGGTTTTGCACATTGCTCTGCAAGGTATTTCAGTTACATCTTGGCCTTGCTTCATTTACCCCTGCCCATGAGTGGCCCTGCAGGACCAGAACTCTCAGTGATTTGACTGAAGACCTGTACTTCTGGGGCACTTCTAAAGTCAGAATTATATAAACTAACATAAATATGCATTTGAGTTTGATGCACCTGAGCTAAAAGTTACAACATTTGCAAATATATCTAAATGTTAATGGACTTGCCTGGGACCATTTTTCTTCAAATCCATGAGTCAATATTGGTTTCTATTAATTATTCCTACCTCCTTCCACCCTGATTTTAATGCAGCTGTCTTAATAAGAAAAGTTCTGGAATAGCATCCTTCTGAATTCCTGTCCTCAGAGAGCATTAGCTGGACAGCAGTTCTTCCAGAGCCCAACACTCCTTTTGATAGCTCAGATGTCTAATATATACTTCTTAATGGCTGAGAGAGGTCTGGGCGCTCTTGAACACATCTCACCATGGTCTTGGTTACTTTGCAATTCTCTTAACTTCTTTTTACTGACAACTTTATAGCTTTCTGCAGAAGCTGGCTAGACTACACAAATTTTCAGCTCAAATACTTCACGAGTAAGAATTTAACTCTCTCAGATGTGGGAGAGCTCTTCCAGTTTTTCAGGGACATACTGCCCTCAATATATGTCCATGTCTTTTTATCTTATTATTTATTTTCTTCACCAGTTTTTCTCTTTCCATATTTTTTTAATGTTCCTTTGGTTTGGAAGCTAGCTGGAGAGAATAAAAACTGATAGGCTGAGTAAAGCTTTTATAAACATAATAAGGGGGTAAAACAAGATTAAATGAAACAGAAGAAAACCACATGGGAAAAGTTCACTCAATGTAAATTTAGATGCAAATTGATTAAAATGAGAGTTCTAAAGGGAAAGTGATATCTCATCTCATAATTCTTGATTACGTCTGCCTCTTGTTTGTGGCTGCTATTGCAACAGCAGAAGTACCCCCAGTTTCTGTTTCAATCAGTGCAGATAGGAAGTGATCAGGCTGTAGGGAACAGTCTTGTGTTGGGGAAAGTCTCTCTTTGTTTGGGTCTGTGTGTCCCCACCCTCCCTTACATAGTCTCTTGTGGTCCCTAGAAACACCACTGGCACACTTGCTTTCTTCTACCATTACTATTCTTTGTCCATCTGTCATTTACATGACATAACTTTTCTAATTATAACCTGAAGTAATCTTTGCCTGTGACCTCAGCAAACCCTCTGTGTGCAGCGTTGGGTGCGACAACAACGGTATGAACCCAGCTAGAAGTGATTGACCACCCCTCCTCTGGCTGCCTTACTGTTCTCACAGGGTGCAGATAACCTTCCTTTAGCCCTGGAGCAGACAGCATTGCAGAAGAGTGGTCTTCTGCGTTTTGCAATTGAACACCAAACAAAGGGCTTATTTGAGGATGCTCAGGATCCAGGAATGAACAGAGCTAATTCAAACCGTATCGCCCAAGTCTCAGCCAGTGCTTCAAATACAAGTTTTTATAATTTCCCTATCTAAGTATTTCTTTACTTCTTCTTTTCTCATTTCCCTATCTAACTATTTCTTTCCCCTTCTAAGTATTTCTTTACTTCAGACTTCACAAAGTCATTCCTGTTCCACATGTTGTTAAACATAAAAAAGATAAATTTGCCATCTGGCTGCATTCTGACTTCCATAGAAGGGAGGAAGGACTAGCTACAACCAAGCACAGAGTATCTGGGCATTGATGACTTCAGCCTGCTGAACTGAGGGGCAACCATTACTGTTGCCAAAAAGCTGTTGCTCTAGTAGAATTCTCAATGACCTCCATCCTTCAGGTGTTTTAGACAGTATGCAGTGTTGTTAGCCATTGCTGAAACTCATGACCATCTGCTCTTGTCAAAACCATTGTATAATTAAGGAAGTTGCCTCAACCCACAAGGTGGTGAATTTAGCTAAATCCTTTACCACAGACCCCAGAAGCACATTTCTCTTTCTCCATCATTGTGTGATGGTTGGAAAAGTTGTGGATGTGGGAAAGACTTCAGCTGAGCTGTGCAAAAGAAATCTCTACATATGACCTCAAAGCCGATTTTGTAACCCAGGCTCTCAAGAATGGCTACATAAATAAGCAAATCACTGATAAATTGACCAATATAACAATTCCACAAACTTCCCATTATAGTGTGTTTTCTTTTTTTTCTTTTCCTTTTTTCTTCTAGTGCGGGTATTTCTACCTCACCCTTCTCCACAAACAATTTCTCATACAAGGCCCATTTAAAAATCCAAAGCACTTCTTGTCAGTGAATATTTCCAATTGTTATAGAGCTAACACATTAGGTGGGAGACAGGTCACATTTTTACCAGGCAATCTGCAGATATCTACAAAGAAAAAAATGGATTTAAAGTTGCCTTTAAAGACAATTTTAAAAATTCTGTTTTTTTATTCAGTGAGATTAAAAGTATATGCAATTGTTTAATATAAGAAGGTTAAGAATTGCATCTCATCTTTTGCTTTTAGTAGATGACACTTCTATTATATAATTTACAGAAGCCAAGTGAGATTATTAGGATATTCTTAAAAATTGTAATTCTAGAAATGAGAGGGAGACTATTTACAAGAGCATGTAATGACAGGACAAGGGGGAATGTCTTCAAACTGAAAGAGGTTTAGATTAGATAATAGGAAGAAATTATTTACTGTGAGCGTAGTGAGATACTGGCACAGGTGGCCCAGAGAAGCTGTGTATGCCTCATCCCTGGAAGTGTCCAAGGCCAGGTTGGATGGATCTTCGAGCAACCTGGTCCAGTGGAAGATGACCCTGTCCATGGCAGGGAGTTGGAAATAGATGATCTTTGATGCCTCTTCCAACACAAACCATTCCATGATTCTATGATATTTACTAGAAGAAGTAAAAAAACATCTGTAGAAAAAGATAGGAATGAACTCCTCATAGCTTGGTGTGTGTTGTGTTTTGAGCATAACTCTGCTTCATTAAAAATGTAGGTTTGTATGTTTCTTAAAGGAAGATGTTGCATTTCAAACAGGTTTTTTATGGTTTATGAGCCAGATAGCCTGGCTTTAAAGAAGTATCACCCCATTAATGGATTTCTGTCAGCCTGATAACCCCTGCACATCACTGCTAAGTGCAGCCAATTTTTTTCAAGCCATTGACAGCTGTATTTCACTGTTTTTTACAAAACAATGTAGAGAGAATTGCCTTGCTGTAAAGGATCTCTACTGCTTTAAGGAATGGCTCTCAATGGAGGAGAACTCTCAGAAGGGGATTTACAAGCCAGGGCTGATGCTGCTCACTCTTCCTGAATGCAACAGGTTGCCCAGCCTGCACCAGAATCCCAGCTCCTGCACCCGCATCCCTTTCTTTGGTAAGGTGGCACATGCTGCTGATTGTCCAGAGAACTGTGTTCTTGGTAAGGGAGAGGGGAAGGGTATGATCCATAATTTACAACTAAAGTAAAAGCTGATGGTGGGTACTGTCCTGTCAGCACCTGTGCATGGAATTGTGACAGCTGCTTTAGCTGTTTACCTCTCTCATTACTGGGGTGTGGGAAAAATCCCTCAAGCAAATAAAACCTGGATTTTTATTGAGAAGATCATAACAATCTCAAAAAACAGTCTTAATGATAGCAAAATTGCCACTCAGGTGCCTTTGCAAAGAAACAAGCTGTTTAAGCACTACTAGGGAGGGAACTTTTTCCTATAACATGCTTCTGGTATCTGGTCATATTGAATCCTGGACAATCCCTCCTTACATCTTGTCTTGTTTTTTTACAGATTTTAAGAAGGAGAACATAACCAGTAAGTAGACTGCTCCAGACTCTATGTTTTTAGAGATGGACATGATATTCTTTATTGAAGCTGCCATTTGCACATATTTTTATGTTTTCTGCTGGTCCTGTCTGGCTGAATTTAGAGTATTACTGAGGAATATTCGGGTTTCCACATCCAAGGCATGGGGAAACACATTTCCAGCTCTTTGGATATTGGGGAGATCACGGGCTGGTAACTTTTTAAGAGAGGCATGTTTTAGGTGGTGCCCTTCGCTCCAGCTGTTTCCTTTTCTACCTACCCATTGGCTATCATTCCCCTCTACCCATATTGGTATTTCTGATTCTGAAGTCTGCCAGCCTTGTATGTTAACAACATGGTTACTTATGACAGGCTGGCCTTGCAAGACCTTAAGCTCCCAGTACTCTCCTCAAATCACCACTGAAGTCTGGCTGTTTCTTGTCTGAGCCTCCCATGACCAGTGGTGAGACCCGGACATCCCCTGCAGTGCTGCTTTGACTTCTGTCAGGCTTCCCCCTGCTGCGGGTCATGGCTGAAGCACATACACCCAACTCTTCTACTCATGTGCAATTCCAGTTTCAAGCTCAGGCACTGTACTTACCTCACTGGAAAAAGGAAGAGTCTCTCTCTTGCCATGTATCTAAGCAGGTGTGGTTTGCAGATTTCGCAGTGGCATGCACTTTATGCATGGAGAGAGGCAAAGTAAAAAGAAAAAAAAGCAAATAAAGAATTTTGGGGAATATTCTTTCATGGAAAGATCTTCTTATGCATGGAGAGAGAGGCAAAGTAAAAAGAAAAAAAAAGCAAATAAAGAATTTTGGGGAATATTCTTTCATGGAAAGATCTTGGCTTCACCTGACAACCTGAGATCTAGGGGCCTGGTGACACAGACGTGGAGACAAGGACTTCAGCACCCTCTGGGCCAGTGCCTACAGCCTGCAAGTGCAGCCATCCCAGCCCTGGTAGAGGAACCACAAGAGAGGGGTGTCAGCATATGAGAGGAGCATTTGTGGGATGGCTTCAGTCTCCCCACAGATGTTTCAGGACATATCCTCTGTCTCTTGTGTATTGTGTATGGATGAACTCTCCGTTTCAGCTTCCACAGCATTTTTCCAGAGTGGCATTGCACAATAGTGTACAATATTCAGTACAATATTCATTGCAAAGTGTACAATATTCAGTCATGAACCAGGAGTAACCATGAACCATAAGAGTAACATTTTAGTAACATTGCCCCCTCTTTTTTCTTTAAACCCATTTTTATGTGCACAAGGGTTTGTTGAGCACTGTTGAAAACTGAGCTGTTTTCTAGCTTGCTATCAGATTATTCATTAATGCCCAAGTGGACCAACTCCATTATTCCTCTGTCCTCATTGCAGGAAGACAGTCCATGAAAACATCTGCATTTCCAGAGTATGAAGGATTCTGAAGTTCTTTCTTAGTGCTGCTCTTTCCCCTAAATCTCTCCACATTAATTTTTTAAGGTGTCCCACTGACATTTATTTCAGATCTATACAGAAAACTTTTCCTTGTTTATTACTGACTGTGTCGTGAGATATGTTTCAGGCACTGCTTTCCTTGCCCTTGAATGTGAAATAAGTAAAATTCTCATCTCAGGTACACAAGTATGTTCCAGGACAGTTTAACACCTCTGATTAAGATGTTACACCTCTGCAGAGCTACAGGTGCTGGTCATGTGGGGCTGCTATCTTATTGCAGGTGTGAGTCATAAATAGTATTTATGTATCAGCAAAATAAATCCACATGAGTGTATTTTACTTTGCATTTGTCATGGGTTTAAATGCTCCCATAAAGTCCATGATCATTCCTCTACTGAAGTGTTTAGCTGCCTCAGGGCCATATGAACTTGGTTCTTTGTTTAAGTTCACTCAACTGGAGTGAAAACTTTAAAGGCAGTTTGTCCACCTACATGTGTATAGTGTCTGCTACCTGCTAAAGCCTCAGTAAGCTAAGAGTCTATCACAATATATAACTGCAATCCTGAGTGCAGGAAGAAAACACCAGATAGTTATGATGGTGTGTTGATACCTTGTACACGAGAAAGAATACAATCCACAAAGACAGAGAGCCTTGTGTCAAATTTGAGTCAACCCTTACACAAGGCTTTCAGGAAGATGAAAAGTATTGGCTTAAAAAATTCATTATTTTAGAACATGTCATGTTTCTTCTTGTTCTTTTTTTTTTTTTTCCCGAGCTGCGAGGTTATGTACACAATAGAAAATAAAACTATGACAGAAGAATCTGCTGGTTTGTTAATTTTTCTACCAAGTCTAACAATGCAGTGGATGCTAATATACGCCATCTATTACAATGTTAGCCTCAGCTGAGCTGAGTTTAGACTTTAGCTAATATGTATTGAAATATGTAAGGCTGCATCTCCTCTGCTGTCTTTCTGCTTCCTAGATTATGCCATCATGCATTATACTCTCCTATGGGGACAGGTGTATGTGAGGACATATGTCCTAGGAGGATATTAGTGCATATTCCTGCAGTAAAATCCTGAGATTTTCTGCGTAATTTTTCTGCAGCTGGAGCAAGCCCTGTATATGCAGTGATTACACTATCTTTGTTATAAAGAACATTGTTTTATACTGATACCATTCCTTTGATCATAGTTCAGATCATACTTCAGGGTATTGTTTCCATGCATGCTGAATACCATAGGCTGTTTCCAAATAGTCAGAGAGTATTGATAAGCACTGTACAGAAGCAGGAGGAGGGCAACTTTATGAATCCCAGCTCCCTGCTACTGACATGAGGAATATGAGTGTCTTCCTATTAGTGCCCTGGTAAGAATGCAGGCTGTGACTCATGGAACCAGTGCTGTGATTTGCTTTCTGTTTTGGTTTACCTTGGGTGGGCTCAGCGTGGGTCTGCCCACCCAAGTGGGCTCTGCCTACTTTCTGCATGATGTACTGTGAACTAGGTAGTTGCAGCTCAACCATCACAGGTATATGGCCTGTTTTCTCAATCTGAGAGAGTTGCAGTGCCCTCTTTGAAGTTTTAGCAGATTTCTGCCTCTGTATTGAGTGCAAAATCCATTAAAGAGTAAACAGGAATCTAAGCAGTACCCTTCCTGTGTTGTCTAGTCCTTCTGTGTGCTTCACATTTGATGCCATCAGATGGTCTCATGTAACAACATGAACTTTATTCTTGTGAGTCTCTGCTGCAGGACATGGCCTGAAATCCCTTGACCCCATGTTTGTTGTTTTTTTTTTTTTTTCTTTCCCAGGGACTTGCTACAGCGGCAATGGCCAGTTTTATCAGGGCACGACCAATGTCACAGCATCTGGCATTCCCTGCCAGAAGTGGAGTGATCAGGTGAGCGTCAGTGTGAGACCCACCAAATGGAGAGCTGTGCTTGAGGTTTGCTTTTCCAAGGAGTTTCTCAGAGTCAAGCAGCCCAGTCTCAGTGAAAGTGATGAGCAGGGAACAAGTTGCCTTCATTCTTGAGCTCATTGGTGTTTTATAATCTCATAATATTTCAATCTGCAAGTTCCTCTTACTGTGTCAAGATGTGTTCTCTGTCATTTCATGTGACTGAAAGGCTACTTTATCAAAGGCTCTGTCTTGCTTCAATCCTTTAGGTTTTTTTTTTTTAATTTTTTTTTTCTTTCCCATTTTGCTTTAATAATAAGAGCGTGGAAAATTATGCTGAAACACTAATACAATTTGCTTCCTCCCGCAAGGCTCCCCATTTGCACAGGAGGACTCCTCAGGTTTTCCCAGAGCTGTTTGATGCTGAGAATTACTGCCGCAATCCAGGAGGTGAGAACGAGCGTCCCTGGTGCTACACAAAGGATCCAGCTGTGACCTGGGAGTACTGCAGTGTGTCTCCCTGTGGAGATGGTAGGTAACTGCACTTTATGATTTCTGCCACTGTTGTTATTTCGTGGCCATGCAAGGTGTTTGCATCCTGAGTACACCAATCTGTTCTGTCTTTTGGATTCAGCTAGTTCTGCGTCTTCTCATAGATTCATACAGCATCTTTAACGAGAAGGTGTAATGTGCCCCATGAAGAGGGGAAAATGAAGACAGATGAATCAAGCACCTTGCCCTAGGTTATATAAATGCCAAAGATGAAGTGAAATGTCCTGTGGTATTATGAAAAACTGTTTTGTCACACAGTTTAGAAGATAGAGCTTCAGGCTGTTTCCCAAAGTTGTTTCGTTTAGGGTGATTTTTTTTTCAGTAATACCCCCCCTTCCCCACCCATTTAAACTAAAAATAAGCCAAAAAAAGATGGAAACACCTTTGTGTTTTGATGTAGAAGTGAAATTTTCCTGTAACTTCTTGTTCAAAAATAGACAAATTTTTGAAAAATATTTCATCCAAGATTCCAAATTTCTGGATTTCAGTGCTCAGAAATAAGACTGCATTTGTAAACTTCCTGCACAGGAAACAGAGGTTCTATGGACATAAGTGAACACAAGTAATTTTCAGTTTAGCTGGCAATTAAGAAGAAGAAGAAGAGTTTAAATTTCTTTCTGTTCTCAAACATTGCATGCAGAGAGCAGTATTTTCTAGAATGTCTCAGAAACTACTCCACAGGTAGTGATGTGATTTTTTCCCTAATAATTCAGCCAAGTGTGCTTTAAACTACTTTTCCACATTTGTCCTGTAAAGACACTGAGATGCAAACTCTTGGGGGTAAGAGGATATTTTGGGAAAGTATCACTCTGTACTTGCTTGGTCTTACACTCCTCCCTGCAGATTCCTTTTAGGACACATGATACATTGTGGTTTACATTGTGCACCATTGATCTTTCCCACTGCAGACATGACTATATTTGAATACTTTTGAGACTATCAGATGTGACCTCCCATTTGTAACTCTTCCAAATATTCTATACCAAAACTGTGTTTCCAGCTTAATGGGAACTATGTATTGGTCTTACCAGATCTTGGATTTTCACATGTGGCAAGCACAAATGGGTTTTCCTTCCTGCAAATCAAGATTCTCTAGTATGATCTTCTCATGCAGTCATAGGTCTGTATCTGTAATGTCAGTAATTCCCAGGGTGACAAGCTAGCTCTGTAAATTCCTCTTAGAGAAAGCTCTATAAACTAGCAGAGGCATAATCTTATTTTATTTGCGTTTATTTGCGTTACAGCATTGTTATCCCTAGGAACAAGAAAACCAAATGGAGAGACTCTAAATCTTCCCCCTCCTCCTCCATTTTCTCCTACATACTCCATGACTGTTATCATCTCAATCATCTCCAGCTTTGCTCTGGTTGTGATCTTTGGCATTATCACCCTGGTTTGCTGCCGTCGTCGAAAACAGTGGAAAAACAAAAAAAGGTAAAGCTTGGACTCAATTCAGTGCAAGAAATGCTGCTTTGGAAAAAGGGTTTTCTTGTTTCTGAGAGAAAAGTCATGCAAACATCTGGGAGGAGAGAGCAGCACTCCCTTTGCCTGTGAGAGCCCAGTGTAAGTTCTGTTGAACTCCTGTGCCTGAGTAGAAGGTGGTGACTAGGGACATGGACACCTTGCTGCAAGGTTCCTTCAGTAGCCAGGCTGCACCTTCCTTTTCATTATGAAATAAACAAGCTCAGGAGGAGCTGAAGCTAGTTATCTCCTGATTGAGGGCTATGCACACGCTGACCAAAAATCTCTCCGTTGTTTCAGAGAGTCTGAGACACCAACTCTCACCACTCTGCCCTCCGAACTGCTCCTGGACCGGCTGCACCCCAACCCAATGTACCAGCGCATGCCTCTTCTCCTCAATCCAAAATTGCTTAGCCTGGAGTATCCCAGGAACAATATTGAATATGTGAGAGATATTGGGGAGGGAGCATTTGGGAGAGTCTTCCAAGCCAGGTGAGCAGTCTCTTTGTGAGTCTTCTTTATCTGGATGTACTTGTGAAAAATCAGCACTGGAAACTATCCATCCATCCATCCATCCATCCATCCATCCATCCATCCATCCATCCATCCACCCATCCATCCATCCACTCAAATGCATGCATACCAAATGGTACACAAGATGCGGGTTTGAATAATTGTTTTTGTTGTCCAGAGCTATCTGTCAATGTTTGTTAAACTTTTGCTGCAAATTACTCTTTTCCACTCCCTAGTAGATGTAAAGCCTTACACACATACTAAAGTCTGGTGTAAAAGTTCAGCTAAATTTTGCCAAGAGTACTGCCTGTAACATGTGACCTATTGTGAAGTTCTTGCATCTCCCAATACAATACATCTTGCAATACAGTTCTTGCAGTATTTATAAATTGTCAGTGTATGGGGAGAATTAAAACACCATTTCTGGCCTGTGTAATTACCACAAAAGTCATTGTGTCATGCTACAGTTCAGCCCAAACCAAATTTCAATTTGATTGTGTGGCAAAACCAAACCAAACCAAAAATCCCCTAAAAACCCTCCCTACATAGGCAAGGGGCGGGGCAAAGGAGGAATGGGCACATGGTCTGTGGTGTCCCAGCCTTAATGGAAAATGCACATCCAAGATTTGTAGATGCTTGTGAGTGACAGGAATGGCAAAAGCTGAAGTATCTGCAAAAATGAACAAATTTTTATTAGTAAATTACATGCCTTCCATGGATATAGCTCTTTTATTGTCCCTGACCTCCTATATAACCACAGGGCAGTGGGTTTTGAATAAAGGGGTAGTGTGAAAAGGAAGGGAGACAAAAAGATGGATTAAAGACAGGAGGAGAAAAAAGAGAAAGAAAAGAGAAAGAAAAGAAAAGGAAAGAAAGAAAGAAAGAAAGAAAGAAAGAAAGAAAGAAAGAAAGAAAGAAAGAAAGAAAGAAAGAAAGAAAGAAAGAAAGAAAGAAAGAAAAAGAAAGGAAAGCTCCACCATCAATTCAGCTGACAGGAAGTTCATGGTCCCAGGACACATGTGCTTCTAGGCTTTGTCAGGGTAGCTTTCTGTAGTAAAATTTCTGTGCCCTGGGCCTAATTTCCTCACTTTCTGTACAAAATGAGTTATCATGGGCAGCCTCTTCTTCCAGACCTTTCTGGAAACGGTTTGGGGGCTTTGGGGGTCGTGGGTGCTCTTGATGCCCCCTTGCAGTCCATTCCCACCTACTTCTCAGCCTCATTCCTGCACCTCTGATGTACAGTGTTGTGCTTATCTCCAGGAGCCAGAACAAGGACACTTGTCTCAGAAAAATGTTGCCCTACCTCTGTATGACCCCTTTATTCTGCCATAACAATCCTTGGTTGGCTCCATGGCTATCTGGATATCAGTATTTGAGTAATACATATAAATTTCCTTATCTCTAGACTTCTACAGTGTCCCCTTTAGTTCATTTCTCATTTTTTGTTTTTGGAATTTGCAGCCACTGTTACCTGTTTTAAACCTAAGGTATTAGACAGCCCAGTTCTGATAATATCATGGGAGGTGAGATTGTGCACTTTTACAAATGTGAAAAATCTTTAATTGACAACCCCAAAAATGAGGAGGATGAAAGATATCTAGTTTTTCTTGACAGAATCCATAATTTCAAGACAATCTGGGCAATAATTGTTTCCTCCTAAAGTCCCATCCCCAAATTGCTAGAAGAAAGTGTACAGGCTGCATAGTTCCCTGCTTAGTCCTTTGTCCTTTGCAGTTAACAAGGATGGGGCATGGCTGATTTTGTAGCTGTATGTAGAGTAGTGTATGACAACCTCACAAAAACCCAGGGAAGGATCAGAGTCCACCATGGGCCCAGATCTGCTTGGTGAAATTCTTCTCTTGGCTGCCAAAGCAAAGGGTTATCCTTGCAAAAAGCAGTCATAATGCAGATATTTGTAATGTTTATAGTTAAGCTGTTGATGTAGCTGCTGGAAAATGAGTTCCGTACAGGTTAGATGTTGCAGCTGGGAAACAATTTCAATAGCTGTGATGGATTTTATTTTTTTTTGCAAAGAAAAGATAAATTTTTTTCTAATGGAAAAAAAGCAAGCATATTTTTCTTTGTTACAGAGAGAACTAAAAATAACAAAATTCAAAGGGTGCACAGTGGGATTGTCACAGATGCTTAGCCTGTGATGAACTATTAGCCTGGGTGGCCAAACACATCTGAGCTTGAAACAAGAACACTGCTATAGAAACTGCACAGCAGCTCTGCTTGGGGTGCTGCACACCAGGGGCAAGGGCAGCTGTTGTCCCAGCCTCCGTGCAGTGCTCGGGGTGCCCTGAGTACATCACTTTCTGCTCATGCTGCAGGAGTCTTCACCTGTGTGCAAGCAGGGCAGACATTCTTCTTCCCAAGTGCAGCTTTGGCTGTCCTCTGGGGGTTGTAATACAATTTGAGTGCTGCACAGACCTTTCTGAGCTCAAAATGACTTTCATGGATATCAAGAAAGACTTCTCAAAGGGCATTCAATTGTCACTAAAGTGCTAGTTAAGCAAGTGCCAAAGTGGTGTAAAGACCTTTTATGTGGATTTCATCCACTTCAGCACTGCAATTTCTTTCAATTAAGCCTTTTTGTTATTGTCAATGAAAATGAGAAAAAAAGACACAGAAAAAAAAAAAAGAAAGTATTACATCTTATCTAGCATTTGCAAAGTGAGCAGTAGCACATCCTGAGAGATGCTTGCTCTGTGTGGCTCAGGGAAGGAGCCACAGAAATATTGCTTCTTATGGACCTCCTTTTTTATTACCATCTCTATCAAGAATGCCTCCAAGGCTTTATAATTCCTTATAATAAGATATGGACATTTATATGCACTGCTGGCAGAGCAGTGCAGACCACTAATCCACTAGTACAAGCTGTGTGTCCATCCAGGTTACTGAAACTATCAAAATGCAAATTATTGCCTTCCCATCTCAGAAGGATAAAATGTACTTTCCTGCATGTGTTAAATGGACATCTCGAGCTAAGTTTAGCAATCCTCTTACTTCTTCTGCTCTCATGTTTCTTGCTCTTCTGTAAACACCGCTCTGCACTCAGTGCCAGCAATGCCTTTGCCAGTTGGCTGCTGTGAGTCCTGATTCAGTGTTTACTCACTCCTGGGTCAAGCAACATGTTAGGACAGGAAGTGTCTAGCTATCATTTACTAGCTTCTCCTGAAAGGCTACTGTCTTCACCAGGAACAGCTTCACACTTGGAAGGATAAGGAAGTAACCATGCTTAAAACAAAATTCGGGACCAGACTCAGGTCTGTCCAGCTAGGTCTTTGTGGCTGATTCTCCTCCTGGGAGGACCACGCTGGCCACACAAGCCACCAGAGCACTAGCTCTGTGCAGTTCAGTGCAGACCAGCATGCAAAACTTCCTTCAAGAGCTGGAGCTGTGTGGTCCAGGCTAAGCCTGAAGATCAGGATTTCCTAAAAGCCTGGATGTGGAGTCTTTGTTAGTAGGCCAGTATGGAGTTTTGGCTAGCAGGCTGGTAGACCTACACTACAAATGCACAACTTGTTGTCCCTCCTTAGGGACAAGGCTGTTCCCTAAGGTCAGAGTTTCTTGACAGAAGTCTCCTCATGTTCTCTCCATCTGCCAAGAGTATTTGACCTGCTGTCTCATATATAGCTGAAAAATAGTGTGGGTGTCAATTAATAAAACAAAAAAACCCCAACCTTCCCTTCCCCCTAAAAAAGCAGCTCCTGCTGATTCAGAGCAGTCTCCTGTTCACATATTAACTTAACCAAAGAATAAGGTAAAAGTAGGCTCCCACCAGACTCGGTAGATGTTAATTGCATTATTTAATCATCTAAGAGAAGCTACACAACTGTTATGGTGAGCAAGATGGGGACAGTCTCAAATACAGATTCAGACTGATCCTCATTTTTTTACATTGTTACTGTTTAGGAAAGAAAACCTGACTGGGAACTTAAGTCAGACATTATCTAGATAGGATCAGAATGAAATTCTTAACTGCACTGCTGGTTTGTACTTTGAACAGCATGCACTTAAATGCCAATTAATGCCTCTGGTGCCCAAATCCATTGGTGGTGAAGCAGGCAAAGGACTGTTGCTGTCCACCCTGTGCACAAACAGTGTAAATTTCTCCTCAGCTTTTCATTAATTGCAAAAGAGATTACCTAGATAATTTCTTTTGATGTTTCCCAGTTCTAGGAGAAAATTAACCTGTTTTTCAAAAAAACACTACCCCTTCTGGCCCTCCATCTGAATTCTCCAAGTTCAGAGGCAGCAGTTTCACACTGCTACCCTGCAGACGTGCCCCTACCATTTGTGCAAAGACTGTCTTTAGGGCATGAAAGGGATCAAATTTGATTGCTGTCTGCCAAGACTTCAGTCTCTGCCTCTGTGCCAGAGGAGTGTGAGTTTCACAGGTCTGCTAAGAACTGTAGTGCATCACCACGAGCTACCAAAGGTGAAATTTCTGGCTTTTGCCTGAGGGCCAGTAAAAAGGCATTGTGCAGCTTAACCCCACTTGGTTACATTTAGGTTAGTTTACATTACAGAATTCAGTGAAATTGGGTGGTTGGGTGTACATCAGCTTTGGGTGAGTTTCTGTCTCCAAAGCAGGCGGAGACAGAGCTCTCTCCACTCCTGCTTTGGCACTGTGCTGGGTCTGTAGTAGGAGATGAGTGGTGATCTCTGAGACTATTTGGAAGACATAAAGCCCTCCTATTTTTACTTTTGAATTCCCTATTACTTTGTTCAGGCTGCTGCTGCTGGCTCTAGTGCTGAGAATTGACAGCAGGTGGTAGGTGCTCATACTCCTCCCGTCCTCCTAGACAGGGAACTGCTGCCAGCATGGGGGGAAAGAAGGAAGACAATGTGCTGTAATGAAGGCAGTAGCAGACAAGTGTGGGGTCTGATCCTCTGCTCTGACATGCCAGACCTCCTTGCCTGAGTGTCTCAGCTGTGATCTAGCCACCTCCTACTCCTATCTTGATGGACACCCTGCCATCCAGTGACATTTGACATTTACAGCATCCAAGTGCAACTGTTGCAACTGCCATGTGTCTGAAGTAGAAAACAAGGAAGCTGGAAGTTTGCTTTGGAAATTGGAGTCTCCTCTAGGTGCTACTGAGCAATAAAATAACCTGGCATTCAAGCAGTGGGAGGCAGTCAGGCTGTGTAGCAACATGAGACATAAATGGGCACCACTCCCCATGGGCTCTGGCTGGCTACCTGTACGGAATGTGTCTTAGCTGCAAGGCCCCTGGGAAGAATTTGTGCAGGAAACAAAATGTACGTCTGAGGTTTAGTGCATGTTTGAAGAGTGGAAAGTTACTCTTCTCCAGCAACAGCTACCCCTAAATCTTTGGCAAGCCCATCTAATTAAACTTGCTGCAGGAACATGTGGATAAGAAAACAAGTTTGTTGCTCTAAGTCAGGGTTCTGTTTCCTAAGGATTTGTGCCTATAAGCTTTAGTTGAAGATTTGTAAGTGTCAAAACATGTGTATTTACACATTAACTTGTTCTTCAGACAAGGCACCTGTTTGATTTGTCCCTTCTGTCCTGTCAAGTGTTTCCACAAATCTTGAATGAATATTAATTGTTTTCTGGACCTCAGCTACACCACATTAAATCCAGCTGAAATTAGCAAATGCTTTTATAACTTGTTAAAGGTACACACACATGCCACACACACATACACAGAGAACAGTAACAAAAGGCTATTTCCCTTACAAAACCAAGGAAATACATTTCCTGTAATGGTTACTTTCACTCTGATAGCAGCCAGATATACCAAAGTCACCATTGTGCCAGGTATGGGGAAGGAGGATCTTCCATAAATTTCATAAAAAATAGGTTTATTTTTAACTCTACTGTAACACCCAAAAAAAAAAGTGAATTGTTTGGACTGAAGAATTCATCCTGTCCTTAATAAAGTTTATGATGTGATTTCCAACCTAGGGAGCAATTACTTCTTACCAACCTGTTACTTATTTATGTCTTTATCTGATATGGTGATGAGCCTGTAAGCAGCAAGACCAGTGATCAAAAAAAGCTATATTGAATTTAGTCCTACCTGTACCTGAAACAAATAAAACACCTCTATGATATGCAATGCATATTGCAGTCCCAAGAGATGAAACTGGGCTTTCCTTCTGTTGGTTCTGGGGCTTCCACTTTTTTTTTTTTTTTTTTTTTTTTTTGGTCAGCCTCTCCTTTTGCATCAGAAACAGAACCTATATTCAGTGTGCATGTATTCATCACTGATGATTTCCTCTCTTACCTCATCTCCTTACAGGGCTCCAGGGCTGCTGCCATATGAACCTTTCACCATGGTAGCAGTGAAAATGCTGAAGGAGGAAGCATCTGCAGACATGCAGGCTGACTTTCAGAGGGAAGCAGCTCTCATGGCAGAGTTTGACAATCCGAATATCGTCAAGCTTTTAGGTATCTCAGTGAGGCATCCTGCTGCCCTAACAAGATGGTGCATCACATCAAAGCCTCTTCATGCTGCACTGAGTATACTGCTAGCCATCTTGCTGCCTAACTCTGTTTCCAGTCTAATAACATTAACCCAGATGTCTTACAGGGAAGACGTGAACTTCCTGGAGCTGTGATTTATTTTGTGGGTACTGAAAAGAAATAGCACAAGTCTTGTTAGTTTTATAAGTTCCACTTACTATTGTGAGTCTGAACACTTAATAGCATTAAAAACCCCAAAATTAAATGAACAAAAAAAGCCAGCCACAAAAATGGTCTCTTTCTTTCCTTCCATTCTCATCTGAAAGGACATCCTTCTTTGTTGGATTTTTTTTAGAAAGTCTTGGTGCTGAAGCTTGTCTACTAAGGCACTTTATGAGGAAAAAAAGCTGCTGACAAAAATACATTCTTTTAGAAGATTGTATTTTTTTTTCTGAAGTAGATGCTGCTGGCCATCTTTATCTGGCAATCCTGCTCTAAGTTGTTATATGCAAATCTGATTCTCATGAAGAGGGGCATCTGAGATCTTAATTTATTTCAGCAGGAAGATCCAGAACATTTTGAAATAGATAAACCACAGTTTTGGGAAAGCTGGGTTGATACAGGCACTTTGGCTACAGAAAAGGAAAGCAGGAAATGCACTAAACTGGATGAAACTTTGTGTTTATTGTTAATACATTTTAGGCCAGAAAACAGCAAAGGTACAGGCACAAACTAGTACCACATCATGGGGCTGTGGAGAAATAGCCACATTGTTGAAAACAATGTAGATGGTAAATCTCTCACATGCACTTGTTGTGCTTGTCAGATCCTGATGTCATCAGATTGGGAACAGCCATTTGTTTTTCCTCAAAGATTCAAATATTAGGTCAACAATCAGAATTTCAGATTTCACAATAAGTTGCATCACCAGTTGCTAAAGGATGACCCTAAGATAGCAAAACACATACATGTTAACTGTTGGCTTTTGCTAGTTAGCAGTTTAATGATAGGTCCACAAATATTACTCTATGATCAGTAAGGTTCAAGGAAGTGTGGTTAATGCTGGCCCACCAATAAAGCTGATAAAGTGCCAAGCATGTGCCCTTCAGTGGGACTGCTGTCTACATCTAACTGACAGGACAAATGTCTCCTTTCAGCTGTCTGCTTTTGATTTGTCCTTCTTTAAATTTTGTATATCTGTCATGCCAAAAGTAATTCCTTAACCAACTTTTTTTTGACATTAATTGTTTAAAAAAAAAGAAAAATCTATAAGGGTGGGAGTTTCCTTGCAATTCAAGAGTTCCACTGAACCCTTGAACATGCCCCATGTGAATGCTTTTGAAGTCTTCCTGCATATGTGTCATCCATTCAATATTATTGTTGTAATAATACAACAATCACAAGAAATAAAAGAATTAAAAAATAACTTGATCAGAACTTTAAAGGTTACTTCCTGAAAGTCCTTGTTGTTGCACCTGGGAAGAGGCAATACTTTAGTTAATGTTAACTTAATCAGGATTGGCTCTTCATTAAACATAGCTCCAAAACTCTGTGTTTTACCTGCGATCTCAAGAAAAATTGTGCATGCAGGCATGTGCATGACTTGTTAGCATCACATCACCCACGGAGCTCAGCATCAGGTTCCTAATGAAGGAGCTTGAAAAGAGGAAGCATGCATGATGGATGCATGCAAAGTGGATGGTATTTGCATGGTCACCTGTCTCTCTGCATTGTTGAAAGCCTCCCTTTTGTGTAAGGACTTTTGTGCTCTTTGGCTCTTGCACAGCGGAACTCTCTTTGCTACTCCAATGACCTGTGTGGTCTGTCCTCTCCCAGGCGTGTGTGCAGTTGGGAAGCCGATGTGCCTGCTGTTCGAGTACATGGCCTACGGGGATCTGAATGAGTACTTACGTGACCGCTCGCCCCGCAACCTGTGCAGCCTGGCGCAGGGCAGCCTGGACACACGGCTCCGCCTCCCGAACCCGCTGGCGCTGTGCTGCACCAGCCAGCTCTGCATTGCCAAGCAGGTTGCTGCCGGCATGGCGTACCTCTCCGAGCGCAAGTTTGTCCACCGGGATTTGGCCACCAGAAACTGCCTGGTGGGGGAGAACATGGTGGTGAAAATTGCAGATTTTGGTCTCTCAAGGAACATGTATTCAGCTGACTATTACAAAGCAAATGAGAATGATGCCATCCCCATCCGCTGGATGCCCCCTGAGTCCATTTTCTACAACCGCTACACCACAGAGTCTGATGTGTGGGCCTATGGGGTGGTGCTGTGGGAGATCTTCTCCTACGGCATGCAGCCTTACTATGGGATGGCTCATGAAGAGGTCATCTACTATGTGAGGGATGGGAATGTCCTCTCCTGCCCAGACAATTGTCCTCTGGAACTCTACAACCTAATGCGCCTCTGCTGGAGCAAGTTGCCTGCTGACCGTCCAGGCTTTGCCAGCATCCACCGCATCTTGGAGCGCATGTACGAGAGGGCCATGGCCAACATGTCTGTCTGAGGGATACAATTCCTTCCTTGTCTCCTGTGTCCACCTATTTAGACTGACTTGGACTAGCCCATGAACTCCTGAGTGATGGTGGCTTCACACAATGTCCCACTCAGGGAGGAGAAGCAGCTCGTTCCACTGCCAAGCAAGAATTATAGACTGTACCCCTTTATGCACCTCCTTGAGCGGGACTGTACCTCCCAAACAACAGGGTTGACCTTTAGCCACCAAGACAAGACTCCTCAGGCTGGTGAGGGTGCTGGTCATGCTAACTCAGTTCTTATATTTGGCATTTCCAGGGGCACAGAGTTGCTCAGGGAAGGCAAATTAATGTTTCTTCCTAAGCACTGTTTCTTCCCTTCCTAAAAGATCCCACCATGCCCTTCTGCATTTACACTCTTGGCTTTTACCTTTTTTCACACTTTCTCTGACATTTTCTAGTATTATTTTAAAAAAAAGGTTGCAGAGTTCAATCTTCTTTTGGGGATACCATTTATTATGATTTTTTTGCATACTGTTTACTATTTTGTTTTTGCATACTCAGTCCTTTTTGCAGAAAAAGGATGTTTCTGAAGCCATAGGCCACTTTCATCTTCCTTTTAACTTCCACTCTCTCTCATTACAATAACACTGACAGAGTCAAAACAGGAGCCTGCTGGACCACTGGCAGCCCCCTGCATCTTCTGTTACAGAGACAGACAAACTCCTGTCAAGCATGACACTTTCAGTTTTCCAGTGTGAGAAATCCTGAGTCACATTCACTTTATGTTTGTTAAAGTCTCATCTAAAACCTTTCCTTCAGCATTGCAGCACACCTTACCAACCTTCTCTTGAATCAGCAAAGCCATTTGGTGCTGTCAGAGAAATTTATCCCAAAGGCCTGGTGCTGCACCTTGTAGGCATCCAAAGTGTATTTATTTGCCCTGCCTGATCCTCACAATGCTGAAAGCATGAAGAAATGCATCCCCTCTTGCAGAAGTGTGGCAGGCTATATTAATTGCTTTTTCCTTTTTCTTTACAATCTTGGCCTGCTGTTTCTGGTTTCCTTTCCTGACAGACTCTGCTAAGTCCCACTACAATATTTGCTGGCCACATTTCCTTGTGCTGCAGTTTAGAGACAGAGGAATAAAGAAGGTGGATGCCTACAACAGTGTCCTTCTCAGACAACCTGTTAGTTAGGAGAAGGTGGAAAAATTGGGTGCACACAAGAAGGGCTGCAAACTGTCCATCTGCAGGGCAAAGGTGAGACTGCCTCAGTTACAGATAGCCTGCAGCCCATCTCCAAACACCAGATGTTTCTCTGCTAAAAGTTCTCCAAATTGCAATGGATACATCAGTACCAGAGAAAATTTTATTCCTCTGGTGACAATTGTAACCTTTTAGCTCCTTGTGCCGTGAAGAACAGTTGTCCCAGAGCCCCATTGCTGATACAAAATATAGTCTGAGGCAGGGATGTGCATTATGACTATAGAGCAGGAGTGCAAACGAACGAGTGTTTAGTGTGGCTTCTGTAACTTGGGCAACTGGTTTAGCCTACCCAGAAAGCAGCAGCAGAGAGCAGCTATCTATGGTTTCTGAAAGGTAAGCTTGAAAAGATCTGTGAACCATTATAATGAACAGAACTGGAAATATCATACTTTCCTCTGCTGCTCTGCTGTTTGTTTGGGGTTTTATTTTCTTGGGGTTTTTGGGCTTTTCTCATGTAACTGCGGCCATAACAGCATGATTTAATGGTTTTAGACCACTGGTGTCACCTTCAATTGGAGCAAGGAACTTGCAATTACCAAAGACAATGGCAAGAAAAGAGGTCTGGGCTGCTGTTGAAGTGCCAATATGGTATCTGCACAGTGAGCACAAAATGGCCAGTGCTGCCTTACTAATTTAGCAGTCCTACCTATCACACAATAGTTCACTGAGGTTTGGATACTAAAGACAAATATCCTTGAAAATCCCAAAGCCCTCAGTTTCAATAGAAAATTATACTGAAGTTTGTCATATAGCTCCTGTTGCTGCATTATGACCACCTCACAGTGTGCATGGTTGAATTTGTTAGGTTGTATCAACTCCCTGTCTGTCTTCCCTGTTCTGAGGAGGAAGAAGTGAGGAGGCAGGCCTGGAAGGATGGGTGGTGATGCTGAGCTGAGTCTGAATACACAGCCCAGGACTTGAGGCAGTCAGTGTCTGCAGGTCAGGAGGGGAAAAGCTTCCTTTCTTGCAGGAGGAAAGAGATAATTTCAAGACAGACTCCGAGAAGATCTCAGCAGCATGTTCTCCAGGGATGGTAATGGCTTCTGTGTACCGATCCAGCAGGAGGGCTTAGCACCTAGACAGTGCTGTACTTTCAGGATTAAATTGTAGCAGGACTTCTGCTGACTTAGTGTGTAGCTGGATTTTACTTTCCTTCTGCTGTATGCTTTTCAGCTTGCTAGGAGCTGGAGGTTGACTGTTTTTATGACATGCCTCCTTTCACAGATGTTTTTTCTCCTCCCTATGTTTAGGATTCTGCTGTCTTCATTTTATGTTATACAATGTGCTATGCCAGATTCTTCTAGACTTTCTGTACAGTTATCATGTAACACAATTTTTTTTTTAATGGGAGTAAACAAAGGGATTATTAGAGAGTAGCAGAGCAAGAAAAGTTTGTTGTTCAAAAAAGTTGCTTGGAAGCAAAAGTATTTTGCTTTTTTTAGTTTGGATTTATACTTCGTGTGGAGAGAGAGGAAGAATCAAAAATGAACATTTTGTGTTCATTTTAGAACATTTGTGTGCTACAAATTAGAGCACTTTTCTACATTTGGTTCTGTCCATACTGGCCCCAAAAATATGGAATGCTTCATGAATTTGCATGTCACCCTTGTGCAGGGACCATACTGACATATGAATTTAAGATGAACCTTTTTGGTGCTTTGGTTCCCATTCCCACTGATAACAGAGGGAGCCAGCAATCGGGGGCACTAGATAAGAACCCCAAAAAAAGGATTTGCAGCACATTTGGTGTACCCATTCCCTTTGCAAATGTGCTGCCTTGAGCACTGGCAGCACATACACATCTTTATCCTGGGTGACATATTATGAAATCTGACCAACCCAACAACACAGAAATCTTTTCATGTTCCCATGCCTTTATTTGACAGTTGCATTTAAAATGCATAAATTTATAAGCATAAATTCCATAACTGATTGGACACTGTTTACAATATGATCAAATTTGGTTCAGATCCTCTCAGACACTTTATGGGTTAAACACAACTGTCTTGTTTCATTTACCCAAGGGAGTATACTAGTTATTATTCTGTAATTGTTAAATCTTCATGAATGATGGCTTTGAAAGACATCCCTAGCAGAGATGTACATTTCTCATTATCTCAACCTGTGTAACTCCTGCGTGCAATATTTTATAAAATAAAGAGACATTGAAAAGGATAATACTAATACTGTTCTCTCTGTTCTCTTCCTTCTCCAGCATGGTTTTGGGTTTTTGTTGCTTTTGTTTCTGTGGTGTTTTTCTCTGAAAATAGATGTGTTTCATTTTATTAAAATATCTTTGTTACAGCTTTAATATCACAATGGTTATACTGCAGTGAGCTGCAGTAATGAGTTAACTTACTATGTGTGCTCAAAGGCATATTGTTTTCGTGGGTTAAAAGCACTGTTAAGAAACTTTACATTGTGAGAACACATTAAGGACTGGACAAGGGAAAGGAGGATGTTTTTACAATAATGTAGATTGGAGTCCTTTTGTGACTATCCCAAGGTGTAAGATGCCTCACAGAGATGCGAAAGACATCTGTTTCACTCCAAATATCTGCTGGTATTTGTGCCTGGATTCTGGTCTCACACCTAGATGTGTGGAATTAAAGTGTGATGTAAAATCAAAAGGGAATTGAGTATGCTGTTTGTAGAACACAGCTGAGCAAAGTTTCATGCTGATGGGTTTATCTAAAAGACTATAATCTTTTTCTGCACATGATCCTTGAAGATGAGCTCATTCAGTAAGTCTGTGGTAATTTTAACTATTCAAAAATTAATTGTAAATCCTTAACAGTCAGAAATGGGGAATCAAACCAAACTTTCTGACTACAATTAGTCAGGCAAACCAGGAATTACCTTCTTTAGTTGTCTCTCTTCTCTCTGCCACACCTGCCCCCCCCCCCGCCAATACAATCTAAAGTGTTTTCTGCAAATGTTCTTGCAAGAAATCTTAGGGAAAAAATGTTTGGTAAATATTGTTCTTGCTGAGCAAGTCATTAGTGAATTAGGAAAGGAGTTATTTTTTCATCAGCTCAGTTAGATTGAACAATATTAAAGGGTTGACTGAAGATTTTCAAGGCACAAGAAGTAGTACACTCATTTCCCACCACCAAATGAACAGACTTTTGAATCTGTAGAGAAACATTCTTCTGGCTAAAAAGTTGACTCTATGACAGAACCTGCTGTCTTCAGCAGTGCAATCTCTGCCAGGCTTCCCTCCTTCCAACCCCCTTCTGAGGTCACCTGAACCAGCAAGCACAGTGCCTTGAGTCACCTTGAATATTTTAGGCAATTCAGACATCCTGTATGAAACAGTGAGAGTAACTTGTGGCTGGGAAAAGCAGAAGCATGTAATAGACCATATAATTTTCCTTGACTTTAATATGTGATTTGGTAAATGCATATCCTTGTCTTTGTTTAGGTTTGTATAGGAAGAAGGTGAGGAAGCTTGCTTTGTAGGGAGGGTAGAAGAAGTTTCACTCAATCCTTTATGCACATTCCTTGTTGTGTCTTTCCATTGATTTTAAAACTTTGTATCTTCAGTTAAATGTAATGACATCTCACTTCCTCAAAGGAAAACCCTGAGAAGCCTTTGCTAAGTTTCTGTCATTGCAGTGATGTGGGAGTTGCTGCCCCTCTGCTGCTGGTGTGGAGCTCTGAAGTAACATGAAACAGCTTTTTATATTTCATAAAGAATCCAGAGGATTTCAGTGGTGTTCAAATGCAGGACAAGGATAATTTTATTATTAACAAAAAGGAAAAACAACAACAACAACAAAACCTTATCAATTTACCTATGCCACCAAAACCATAGAGTCTATTATAATAATGTCATGGGTGTTTTACAAGTTTCTCAACCTTGGGAGAAAAATTATGTTCTCATTCATCGACAAATCTTTAGAAACTCACCTTTTTATACTGCTGCTGTGCACAGTCAAGAGCATTCCCCAGGGCCCTCTGTCCATACTTAGTGGCACAGTGGCCAGTTGTAACTTTAGAAAGGGGAATATATTAAGAGTTTGAAGCTGCCCTTAAAACCAGAACTAGCAATTTTCTTCAGTGCTGGAGTGGTAGCCCTTAGCAAAGGTCATACTTCACACCACTGACATATTCATGTGCTAGCACACCATCTTATAATATCCCACAAATTTAGTATTGAATAAATAAGAATTTCATCTGCAACTGATAGACAGAAGATATTATGATAAATTTGGACCAAAAAGCAATCAATTAATTAATTTATTATATTTATTGAAGAAATATTTTTCTTCTGTCTGCTGGGATGCTTTTAGGGCCAGTGTGCTTACTTTGACTGTGAGATAACCACACCATACATTTCTACAGGCATGAGTGATCATGTTGAAGCACTTGTATATTTATCTGCCCTCCCCCATGGCTCTTATATAAAAGAGAGGTTACATTTTGGGAGTTTATATAGGCTAGCTAACTTTTATGTAAACAAAAATCTTAATGGAAGAGGGCATCTGTGTAGAAATGAGGAGTGCCAGATGAATGAATGGGGGTTATTCACCCTCTGGATGTTGAGATCATGCTGTGCTAAATTTGACTTCTTATTTAAAGCAGTGACTTCTTATTTAAAGCAGAACTTCAAAGCAGTGACACTGAAGAACAGGAGGGCTTTAGCTATTGTGAAGAAGGCAAACTTCCCCTGTCTGGCTGCAAACAGATGGGATGATGTGGGACCACTACATGGGAAGTGCAGCAAGGAGCACAGCATTCCTCAGCCAAGGAGCACACCACTTTCCTGAGGCATACAATACCAGACACAGTCAGTCCCATGCCAGATTAACTCAGATTTGGCTGAGATTAATTTGCAGTACTCTTGTTATTTTTTCTTCTGTTTTGGAACATAATGAGATCTCTTGATGCTTGTGCTCCAAGACCCTGAACTCTCAACACCTTGTGCCCTTCTCAACGCAAGCAGCAGCACAGTCCTGCTCTTCTTCCTTTCCTCCCAAAAATGCACCACTTTCATCTGATCACAGGGTCCAGATAGGTCCCTGTTTGTGGAACAGGGCAACATCAGTAAATGATAATGTTTCCACACCTCTTACAGTGGTGGAGCTGTGGTTGTTTGACCCCTGCATAGAGCAGCACCATCCCTGACCCAGGCGGGTACCTGACCTGCAATACAGCTGCAAGTCTTTTTGGGGATGGGAGGCTGCATTTTGTTTGGTAAGAGCTCCTGGAGAGGACTGTACAAAATGTTCAGATCAAAACTTCCAGCAATGAAAAGCCACCCAGGTTTGGTTGTCATTAGTGGCCTGATGAAGTTTGCCAGGAGTATCTGCATGCCGCTAGGCTGCTGAACAGCTACATTTCAAGAGAAACTGCTCTGATTTATAGCTTGGTGTCAGTAGCACATTGCAGTCCAACAGCTGTGGACTGGCAGGGAAATGGATAAGACAACTTGGTATTGGTATGTCTTACATGTGAAATCTTCAAGTCAACAGGAAAGCATTTTAATGATCTGTCCTCTCAGTAATCTCAGATGTGAAAACCTGTGACTGTCTGGGCACTTACAGGTGACACCTGTGTAGACAAAACAATAAATTTTTGGCTAATCTATTTTACTGTGTACCACACCTCATACAGACACAACACTATGATACTTATGCACTGTGTTGAGCAGGATTGCTGTGTCTTTTGGTAACAATATGCACTATTGCCCCGGGCCCATAGTACAGAAGAGTATTTGATTTAGCTTGTGTGAGATAAATCCTGTCAATGGGAGGGACAGTGCCGATTTGGAAACATACCCTGACTCAGCAAGACTTGCACAAATATTTTTCTTGGACAGTTACCATGCAGTCAAGTAGCTGCTACTACTACATATTTGCCCTTTTATGCCAATCCATACAATGGATTATCTGTTAGCAAGAAATTTTTAAAAATAACCTGAGATAAAATGTTAAATTAAATTCCTATACATGAAATAAAAGTATCTCTGTCTACAATAAAAAATATGCACAGTTCATTCTTTTGGAACTCTGAGATCCTCTTTGCCTTCACTGGCAATTCTAACTTTACTCAGAGATTAGTGGGGCTGATCATTATTCACTGCTTCTGCCAACACTGAAATGAAGGGGCTTCCAATGAACTTCAAAACATGGATGCAAAAAGTCATACACAGGGCACACTTATATGCCCATGAGCCTACAGATGCCAAAGTATGAATACATTTAAAGAAAAAGAAAACAAAACAGATTACAAAAAATCATATGGGAGAAGCCTGTTAATTTGCATTGCATTTGATGTTTTCAGTGCTTTACAATGCTGTTTTCTAGAGCATTTTGGAGCAACAAAGAGCAAAAAACCTACTTTATTGATGTCAGTATGATCTGAAGTGGTGCTTTTCTTAAACTATGTGCTGGCAACAGCTGGAGTCATGATACCAAATATCTGTCCTTCTGATACCTGGTTTACTGCTCCTATTCTAAGATTCCTTTGCAGAAGGGCCTGGCTTGTATCTGGGCTCAGATCACAGGTGTCTCCTACCTGAAGGATAATTTGTTGGTCTGGCCTTGGCATTCGCATGTAACTGGTCAAAAAAATGTAAACTTTTTAATTTCTTGTACTGTGTTTTAGTTTCTCTTGGATAATGCTTATAACACCTTCTGAACCAAAACCTGAGCATCCTTCAATGGGCAATTGCCCTGTGTGCACCCGCTGGGCTAAATGAATCAGAACAAACTCCTAGTGAAACCCAAAGTATTGCTACCCACTGTCTGTGTCAATGACTTTTGGTCATGTTTCTAGCTGACAAAGATGCAACAGTATTAAACATTGAAGGGAAATAACTGAAAGGCATAACGAAAAATAGACTACATGATACAGAGTAAAAAGCTGAGCTCATCTGCAGAGGAAGCTTCTAGGGACAGACGCCCCTGCAGCTGCGCACGGTACCTACACTTCAGCTGGAAAACCCAACCCTGTGATCCCACTGTGGCAGATGGGATTGCACACAGACATTTTCCAAAATCAAACACCTGTGTTTGGAGCCCTTGTCTCTGAGCAAGCCATAGGGAAATATGTGCTGACAGGTGGATGCACACTCCACTGGATTCTGAAGTCTGTCTGTGTCCCTAAGGCAAATTTGCACTGAACTGATTTGGTCACACACATCACAGGATCATGTGATAGTCGTCCTGCAGATTTGG